ATAAAATACTGCTCAGCAATAAAAAGAAACAAACTATTGATAGATGAATGAAGCACAAATGTATTCTGCTAAGTGAAAGAAACCAGATTCAAAAGGTTGCAAACTGTATGATTTTGCTTAAATGACATTTTGGAAAAGGTAAAACTACTGAGACAGAAAACAGACAAGTGGTCCCAGGGGTTAGGGATGGGGCTGGTTTTGACTGCAGAGGGGCAGCATGAGGGAACATTTTTGGGGTGAAGGAGCTGTTTTGATCTTAATTGCGATGGTGGTTACAAAACTCTATACCTTTGTCCAGACTCGCAGAACTATGCACACAAAAATTAGTGAATTTTACTTTATGTAGATTTTTAAATAATTTAAAATATAAATACAAGATAAAATCCTGTGTTCTGGGAGCAGACTGTCTCACTCTGGAGCAGTGAGAATCCTGTACTTTTCTCCAAAATAAAACAAATCTTAAAAACATGAAGGAAAAGAAGCAAGAACTTTTTCGGGATTGGACTATCCAGAACTCTTAAATGTCAAGGCATGAAAAGTTACTGGTTGCATTTACACATGATGGCTCCATTCATCTTGATCTCTTACCTCGGGTTTCAAACAATGAAAACAGCATAATGAAAATAAGACACTTTGGCATCATCCCATTGAATGACCTGTAATCGCACCTCTATTAGCTCTACTGCACTTGGTCTACTCTTACAGGCTGTTCCTCTCACAGGAGGAGGGAATAATAAGGATAATACCGTCTGAGCAACGCTCATGCAGAACAAGATCTTTTCCAAGTTTCGTTCTGTTCATTTCAAAATGCATCTAAGCCCTCTCTTCCATGATTTCCTCTTTAAGCCTACATGGTCACAAAATGCCACCAACCAAAAGTATTGCACAGAACCCGTGGCAATGTTAAGCTTCTAAATGAAAAGAAAATAAGGAACTGCCCTAAGAGAATATTGCACAGATGAAGCTACTGATAGGAAAGAAATCAACATATTTCATTTCAAAATCACCTAGTGGATAACTTGTGTGAGATATTTGGACCCTGCTGCTCTATAGTTTTCTGTTTCTCTCTTGCACCTGTAAACTGTGGTTTCTGCTGCCTAAAATCTTCAGTCCTACATGGAAGACTTCTGATGACCAGACTGAAATCAATAGATATAACCATGCCCTGAGTCTCCGAATCTATGCCTATAAGACCTAGTTTACCAGCCTTTGAGGAGCTATGGAGCAGCATTTTCCCTCGTGTTGTCCCTTTGCTAATTTGTTATACATATATATTTCCATGTGTGTAAATATGTCTATATAAATATATATATATATAAAATACAAAAAATAAAATTTCCAGATTTGTGTCATTTCAGCCAAGGAAGGTTGCCAAGAGTACAATTGTAGCCATGACTCCTGCATAAAACAAAAAATTTAAGTGAGTAAAAAGGAACACCTTTACTCTTTTGAAGTGACTGGGATATATTGATAGTAGAGGAGACAGCGAATTCCAGAAACAGGTTTTTCCGCACACCTGACTAAGGTTGAACCCAGTTGCACTATATCTTTTTGTGTACGTGCCTGATTGGTGGGGTCTTTGTGGACGCACAATACGAAGTAAGTGTTAATTAGCACTCAAGTTTAAGACTCTTATTAAAGCATGAGAGAAGCAGATGATTTGTATATTTCTGGATAAAAATCAGAGATAGTCACAAAACCATCAGACAAATTATACCGGAGGCAAAGTCTCATTACTTCACATTCAACATTCTCTTTAGACAATTCTGCTTAATCTCTGGGCTTATAATTCATATTATAAAATAACATAGCATCCTTCTCTACTTCAAGGGTGAGGAAAAATGAAAGAACATATGCGGAAATGTTTTAAAAAGAAAATGGCAGTATATAGAGTCGAGGTAATATTTTCTTTAACAGCCACTGCTGGCACTATCCCAAATATATAGTAACTTTCCATATAGTAAATCTAACAGCTCGTTTGTTATTTCATGTCTGTGATGTGAAACATTGCTTAAGCCAGTTGAAGCAGCAGTATAAGAATGATGGTTCTGCCAAGCGCTCTGCACTTGGAACAAATGGACACAAATTAAATCATCAAAATACACCACCCACATAAAACTTTGGCTTTTGCAGCCACCATAGAAAGATGTCATAGAAATATTTTGAAGATGAACGTCCTCAGTCTTTAAACTCTCAAAAAGCCATTTCTGCTGAAAATCACTTGCTGGTTTCAGGGGGTTTTCTAAGACGATCAGACACAAAATGAAAGGGCAAATTAATTAGTGGCAGTCAATTCAGTGTTCCCACTGTCTTAATCATTGAGGACTGTAGGATGGTCAATCAAGTTGATTTTATCACCTAACACATCTAAAATATATTTTTTTAAAAACTTCATTACTTTCAATTCATGCATTCTGATTGCCTTATTCATTCTTTTATTGTACTTATAGCGGCTTTGTTTTACAATTTTCTCGTACTAGGAGCCCACTAGGTAAAGAACAGACATTTCTATTGAGTTGCATCTTTGGATAGCATTTAGCACAATCAAGGAATTTAGATTCTTTTAAGGAGCTAGAATTACTAAAACCACAGAATTAGGAAGGTCCCTAAATCTCATGTAGGGTAGCCATCTTATTGCACATATACTATGGGTCAAGCCATTGACATAAATTATCTCCTTTAATCTTTACAATAATTCTAAGAAGGAAGAATTATTAACCCTATTTTATGTATGGGGAACCAGACACTTAGAGCTTAAGTAATTTGCTCAAGATCTCATAGCTTTTAAGTGGGGGATCTGGAATTCCAATACATATTTGTGTGACTCTGTTTCTCCAGCTTGCTGCCTCATCCACTAGCAGTAGGGAGCTCATTCTTCCCCATACAGCAAACCTTTGACAGTTCTGCCTATAGATCTTTCGGATGTCAAACAACTAACTAAAAAAAATTATAATGTACCATGGAAATTCAAGTTATCGTTTGTCATCAATAACGACAACCCGATCCTGTTAGGTGAGGTCTAAACCTATATTTTCCTTTTGAAGATAATCCTCAAAATCTTAATCATTTTACCGTACATTACTTACTTGGCTTTCATATTATAAGCAAATGCCTACCCTTTCCTTAAAGAGAAAGCCTTAGGACTTCTCTAATGTTGCACCATTTCTTGATTGAGGTCCCAGAATTCTGCATACTGAATCCAGATGATTTTAGCCTAAAAAAGCGTTCATGCAGATGATATCAACCAGCCTTCTCATTATTAAAAGAACTTCCAAATTATTCTTGTAGAATTATATTCTGATAGATCTACCTGGATAAATTACCTATAAAATGCACATCTAAGTAGGAGAATGAACAGACTGTTAATGGGATAATTTAAACTTATCCAAACATTATATATGATTATCCAAAACTTTTTTACCCTGATGATAATTATTGCTTAGATGTAGCTTCTGTCAGTTCCTAGCCAAAGGATCCCATCACTGCTTCTAATTAAGATTAAATAAAATTACACGTATGGCATTCTTGTTTCCTACTTGGGGTAGCAGAAAGACATGTGTTCAGTTTAACAAGTATCTATGGCAAGTGACCTAGAAAAAAATTAGAGGACTGAAACAGTGTTATCTGGCATCATAAGAGACAGAGGTGGCATCTCTAAGGAATTTAAGTTGTCTCTCCAGCTCTATCCCACTGAATGCCTTTCTCCATATTTTCTTTCCTGTCTCTCCAGAAACACTTGGTTTGACTCCAAGAGTCTCTGCATCCACTTACTTCCCAGTTTATTTTCATGCCCTTTACACATAAAAAATGATCTCCCCTCTATGAGGGTTTGGCCAGCATCTTGGCTTACCCATCAATCCTCAGCAGAGGGGGCTCCAAAATTACAAGTTCCAAGTCCCAATGCCACAAACTAGCACCTGGAAATTACCTACTAATTGGAAATAAGGTGATGTTTTATATACTGAATTGCTCCAAAAACTTTATGATATCCCTTCAGATAAACAACTTGAACAAACTCCTTTGTTCAAAAGAAGAGCAACCAAGAATAGAAATCATCTAGAAATTTGATTTTTAAAGAAATTCCTGATTGAAAATAGCAATACAGTGTGACCCCATTATTATACAGTTCTTTGTTAAACAGGATTCAATCACACTCACAGATAAGTTCATAAAATAAAGTCAAGATATGAAATGATTACTATATAATCAGGATACTTGTCCTATTACCCAACATCAGCACATAGTCAACACTCAAAAATTGTCTATTAAGTATGCACTCTATGCCCAGCACTAAAGATGGACTTAGCTATATTTAATATTTACACAGGGTTCTACTGTTGGTGAGCTTGAGTCACATTTTCAAGATGACAACAATATTCCTATAGAGTGAAAAAAGTCATATATAGAGACACCTAAAAATTTTCAAACTCCGTACCAAATAAATATGGAAATGTAAAAATTTTTTTAAAAAAAAGGTCTTAGCTCCCAAGTTTTGGTTTAAACTATCATACCTTTTCTTCCACATTTCCAAGATTCTAAGCCATCTCTTCCCTACAATGCAAACAAGATTCACTGAGGAAACAGCTAATGTTCTCTCTAAGTAAATTATAAATATATGTGTTAATCTATACACGAAAAAATTGATTATAGGATTAACCATAACATGAAACCAAAGTAAACATAGTTTAAATCACCAGAATCCAAATGTAATGGACTTTATAGACATATATGTTGATCAATTTTGCATTGCCAGAAGAATTACAGCACACAATAAAAGCCTGATATAAAACATGCCCACATTAACATGCAATTTATTTCAGTGTTGCAAGGTCATGGAAAAAATTCCAGTAACTAACCCTCTGTTGGAACCACCCAATGAGTTTAATTATAGACTTGTCTATAATGAAGTCTCCCTACATCAAATACGTGCTTGGAAATCTACTCCACATACTTCAGAAATCTTGAAAACAGATAAGATACTTTATTGCTAAGATACTTACAGTAGAAGTTCCTTTTTGCTCGTGGGTTCATCATTTGGGGATGTTTTCATCAGGAGTCATCATGCTTTTGATCTTTAATGCTGTTCTTCTTCCAAGGTTTCTTGTCCGTAATTTCCAGAACGGAGTCACTTGTACTAAGAAGCCATCGTCCCATACTGTTTCCTTTTTTGTGCGAATGTTACCCTGTAGATCAATTTCCTGTCCAAAAACACTCAAAAATGAACGAACGCTGCTGTATGCAAGTGAAATGTGCTACTCAAATGCTCTGTTTATGCAGTTTGGTTCAGGAAGAAACTCCCTGATTGAAATGAGGAACTATATCTCAGTTCTTCCAGAGAACTTAAAAGGCAGACGTTTCTTCCTTATGAATGAGCATATCAAAATTGTCAGCGTCATTTATTCTCAGGAGTTTGTGGCTCAAGTACTATTACATATGAAGCATCCATGTACTGCGTGCAGCCCGAATACCCTCCCAATTGCCACAGTAACAATATCCCAACTATATTTTAAAATCAGGCTTAGCATGCTTTGAAGTACATAATGTTTTCCATTCCTGAAAGGACAAAGAGATCTACATTGTCAAAGTTTATTTTTAAGCTCATGTGCTTGCTAAGCGCAGTGGCGAACAGGCTTTCCGTGCCTGTAGTACCGTTGCTGGAACTTATTAATGCAAAGAGATGAATCGCTGGCTTGGTTCCACACAGGCTTTTATTTCTTTTTTCTTTAACCTTATCTAAATTGCATTGATTATAATTTTTTAAATCAAGAATGCTATCAGTTTTCTGGACTTGCCTGTTTTAATTTTATCAGTACAGAAGCAATGTAAGAAAGGCAAATCAGAGGAAGGTTTCAAGTAGCTTTCGCTGAGATAAAGTTAGAAATTAGAGGTAGCTCCTGTTTCTGGATGAAGTTTGGGGGACATTTGTAGACAGGAAAAATAACAAATTTTAAATGAAAGAGTCAAAGATAAAGAATGAAAGAGAGAGTGAGAGAGAGAAGACGGGAGGTAAGGAGAGAGCGAGCAAAAGCAAGAGAGAGAGAGAGAGAGAGGTGCCTTGACTATTGGCAATAATTCTTCATGTATTTTCTTATTGTTGGGAAAGCAAATTGCTCTGGTTTGTCTAACCCCCTACCAGTCTGCTCAACCCACCTAAATTAGCCCACATGTCATCTAATACCACAGTAAGACTTGTAGAAACACATTATTGCTCGATTAAAGCCATAACAAAATACAGCTGAGCAGTGAGCATTAGGTGGCGGGGTGACCCTGAGGTAATACAAGCCATATTTTGGAATTTCTAGCCCAAATTTTAAACATCTGGTTTTGATATGATAATAAATGCGATAATGTACATTAAATACCAGTATTCAAGTAACATAATCCTTCCATCTGACTAAAACAATGCATGCTTTTCAAATCATGTGAGAGAAAGAGATTAGATAGACAGACAGACACTTACATTTGTGCATAGACCAAACATGCCCCTCCCATACACAAATACCCATGTACACAGGCACAGCAATAGCATATAAACTGCCAGTTGTCTTTCCAGAAATGAGTAGTTTTTCACTGAACCTTTCCTGTGCTCTCTTTTCTGGACACCCCTTTGCACAATTGCACTATTTTGTAGGAGACTTGGCAGAAATTCAAGGAAATGGAAGGAGAATGTGAAAAATAATAACTCTAATTGGACCAGACAGAGCTGTAAACCTCTGACCATTGCTCCATGTGTACCATTTCATGCTGTAATCTGATGAAGTACCCAGCCACTGGCAACTGGAAAAAAAAAATGAAATCGGATTATCCTTATCCTGTTTTAACTTCATGGGAAAGAGTTTCTATATTTCAAATACAAATATTACCCTATTATTAGATGTCAAGTAATTCAGTGCTATAAATGGTGCTGGAGTCCAGAAGTTATGATCCCTTTAAAGTAGCAACTTAAAGTTAGATCAGCTGATGGCAAAGTCCTAACCCATGAGCATTTGCTGACCTCTTATATTTGCATATGAGAAGGCTCACAGAGTGACCTAGAGGCTGGAGAAGGTGTGTGGAAGCTGCTGGGGCGAAAGCCACGCTGGGAATGACAAACAGGTGATTAGCATGGGGTTGAGAAAGAAGGATGAGGCTAATGATGATTCGGGGCTCGTGTGTTTCAGAAAGAGAAGTTTTTATAGTGGTGTATTGTGCAATCCATTTCTATTTATCGAACATCTATGCCCCAGGCACTGTGCTAAGAACACAATTTTGTGTGTTAAATGCAATAAGATAAATATGTACAAAGCAGAGAGGTATCAAAGATAAGGGAGTAATTATGTTTGGCAAGATTAAGGTTGATGTCTGAGCTGCATTTGGGATCGAAATTGGAATTCGCCGAGCAAACAATAGGTAGTGGGACATTCCAAGCAGTGGAATCAGCATATGTGATGGTAAGATGAGTAAAATAGCAAAATTATTCTCAAAAACATAAATAATATGCATTACTGGATTTTAAAATTCTAGCGAAATTTTGGAAAGGGCAAAATAATTTGGTCCAGGTTTGTCCCCCTGACTCAACCATGTGAGCTATCTCAAGGGAGAATCTAAGTCTTGTACACCATAGTATCACTTATAATCCTGAAACATAATGAGTTGACTGATTAACAAATTGCGTTGCCACTCACCGTCCAGCAAAGATTGTAAGAGTACATTTTGCTCTAATGGTATTCTGTGTTCTGCTCTTTCTTCCAGCAGAAAGGAGTCTCGTTCAAAGTATGTTTGAACATCAGGAATACTGAAATTTATTCACTCCCTGTTCCCTCTTGATGTTCAAAGCTTCATGAGTCAGGTGAATGGTATTTGAAGGAGCTGGCACAAAATAAAAACCCCAAGTGTTCTTTCTTGGCTTGAGCCAAACCTAAACCTTTTCAAAGGCGTGAAAACATGCAGCCACATTGGTTTGGTTTTCCTTCCCTGGGCCGCTCTTCCTCCTGGTGCTGGCCAACACCACACAAAAGTCTTGCGACATGAGCCATTTCCACGGAATTTTAAATTCTGCCAAAAACAAGAGGGATTGGAAATTTCGTGAGAATGATTATTCTTAGGAGATTTCCATCCCAGATTCCTAACTTGTGTGGCTCAGATAAGCATCTAAACTGCACTGCCAAATCTTCTAAGGTCCTCAATGCACTTATTCCACTCACATTTCTTCCTAGAGACCTCAAAGTAACAGTGAATGCAATGGTTTGCTGGGAAATATTTTCTGTGTGCCAGCCCTAGGTCTTCTTACCTATGTGGACATGGGTTTGGAATGCCATTTACAACACAAACATTGGTTTGAATGTCCCCAGAACATGCTCAATTTCTGGATGAGACATGTTTAAATTCTCCCAAATCAAAACAACCTACCCCAAAGCAACCCTTCAATTATTTGCTATTCTTTTGCTTCTGAGAAATTTCAAAATATAATAAGAACATTTTCTTGGACATTGTTAAGTATGTAAGTGCTCAAACTCTTCCTATAGGCTCATTTCCCAGGAGAAGATTATATTATAAATTTAATCAAAAATCTCACTAATTAATTGGGACACTATATCAACTAGCTATTGTTATGTAGCATCCCTACTCCAAAACTCAGTGGCTTAAAACAATAGGCATTTATTACTGCTGACTATTTTACAGGTCAACATGACAATTCTAGTCTCATCTGGGTTCATTCATGCACCAGATACATGTTGGGTAGGTGGCTGTATTTGGGGTCATCTGACTGCAACCTGATATAGGATATCCTCAGCTGGGACAACTGACCTCTTCTCCTTGCGTCCTCACTTGTACATGTCTTTCATATCCCTCCAACAGGCTAGCCCAGGCATGGTGTCAGGCCCTCTTGAGTATGTTTTCAAGACAATCAGAGGCAAGAGAGGAAGTAGAAATGTGCCAGTGCAACTTAAAGCCTCCATTTGGGTCAAATTGTTAAGGTCATTTTAGCCAAAGCAAGATACAAGGCAAGCCCAGAGTCGGTGTGGGAGGGCATCCTCCACCAAAGGACGTGGATACAGAGAAGCATGGAAAATTGGGGCTGTTCATACAGTCTATCTACCACAGGCACACAGAAGGTAAGAAGCCAGTCACATTCAGTCGCTTGGATGGACCTACAGCAACATCAGGGGGCTTCAACCTGTGAGACTAGAATTAGGTTTTAGTACCAAAGGGGAAGAGGAAAGCTAAACCCCAAGTTGTCGTAGGTAGAAAGTGTCCCAAGAAAGCACAGGCAAGTCACCAAAATGGCACATGTGTCAGAGAGGTATGGCCAGAGACAGCAATGAGGAACACATAATAAGAGTCATATAAAACCACCAAGCATGGTGAAACCAAAGTTAGCAGGCACTAATAACAAGTTAAAAGATGAACACTTGAGTGACATCTCTCTGGAGTAATTTTCTTGAAGGTGGCTAAAGAGCTTAAAGAGCTTAACAAGCTCCTAAATGTATTTTTTATGTCTAGAAATCTTTTGCATTTCAAGAGTTTGCATTCTCCCATTTTTTCCATGGAACCCTAATGGATACTTCCAGAATTCCACACCAAAGTTAATGTCCTCTTATTTTTATTTTATTTTATTTTTTGAGGAAGATTAGCCCTGCTAACTAACTGCTAATTAGCTAACTGCTGCCAATCCTCCTCTTTTTTGCTGAGGAAGTCTGGCCCTGAGCTAACATCTGTGCCCATCTTCCTCTACTTTATATGTGGGACGCCTACCACAGCATAGCTTGCCAAGCGATGCCATGTCCGCACCCGGGATCCAAACCGGTGAACCCTTGGCCACCGACATGGAACGTGTGCACTTAACTAGTGCGCCACCGGGCCAGCCCCTGTCCTCTTATTCTTAAAATGAACTTATTCTTGACATTTTATTACATAATAACTTTTTGTTTATGAGTATATTGGTCTAACAATTTTATTTTGATCCCTTACATTCTTGATTTCTAGAAGGCACTTTTTCCTACATAGATCTCTTCCCATAGCATCTAGAAAATATATTTACAATTAAGCACTTATAATTCTCATCCATGTTTATCTGAAAGACTATTGTTCACACTTGAGTTTTCTGGGTTTTGAGTTTATTGATTCAACTTCTCCACTTGCATCATTGGCTTCTTAGCTCTTCTTGTTTACTCTATAGACAACCTGGAGAGAAGTTCTTTGAAATCAAAAGATATAACTATTTCCTCTGCTCTGGGAAGACATCTCTTCCTAGGATTCTGATTTTGGCATTTTTTGGAAGATTATCTTATCTATCTCCAGAAAAAAATGATTTTACTGCAAGCAGTTAACCCAAGGACAAAAGGGAGGAGGATGGGTAAAGATGGTT